GTTCAGGAACAGTTAATGGACTTAATGTATCTACCATTTTACGAGACACTGGATGCACATGTATAGTCATTTCTGATAAGCTGTTCCCGAATCTTAAAGAAACTCATTCCTCTGCTATACTTTCAGACTACTTGGGCCGTACAGACACTTTTCCTACCATCCGTTGTTACATTAGGTCTAAATGGTTCACAGGTTGGTCTGAAGCCGTACTAGCTCCCATCACTTCTTGCTCCGTACTAATAGGTAATGTAAAAGGTGCCATTCTTCCTTCTGAGGTTGACCTTTCATCACCAAAGATAGACATAAGTGTTTCAGATCCTCTTCCTGTAGAGTCAGAGAAGCCCCTCTAAAGTTCAGATGAGACAATGTCTCGTGAGATTCATGTGGAATTAAAAACCAGTGATACTACTTTCGAAAGCGAGGTAGTAGGATCACCGGTTCACTTGTTAGATGAAAGTGAAGATATCACCTCCGATACCATAAATGTCTTGACTAGGGCTCAGACCAAAGCCCAGGCTTCTCCTGCTGTCCATCCTTTGATTTTCCCTGACTTTAAGCCTTTAGATATATCGAAGGACTCCTTTGTCAATTTACAACGTAATTGCCCTTCTCTTCAGAATTGCCATAATGCCGCTAAACAAAATCAAGTTATCCAAAGGAAAAACTTTTCATAAATTTGAATATATAAAAGGTATCTTGTACAAGTCAGTATTCAAATTAAATTCAGATGAGATAGACTATTCCATCTTAGTTATTCCAAGTCAATGCAGAGAGACTGTTCTTAATTAAAATGGCTCATGACCTGCCAGTAGCCGGACATTTCTCGCACCGTAAAACCTTAAATAAAATTAGGGAAACCTATTTTTGGCCAAAAATGTCCTCAGATGTCACTACCTATTGTAGATCGTGTAAAGTTTGCCAACTGTCATCCTCCCGAGGTACCAGGCGAGTACCTATGGTCAAAATGCCAGTCTTTACGGTACCTTTTGAAAGAGTAGCTATTGACATCGTTGGTCCTTTATCTCCACTTTCATCTGGGGGACATAGATATATATTAACATTAGTTGATAATGCTTCGAGTTTCCCTGAAGCAGTTCCCTTAAAGACCATAACTACTACAGAGGTGGCTGAAGCCCTTTTGTCCATCTTCTCCAGAGTGGGCATCCCTAGAGAAATTTTGTCTGACCGTGGGACACAATTCACATCTGACTTAATGCAACATCTCTACCAACTTCTGGGAGTGAAGTCTCTCTTCACACCCTATCATACCAGCTGTAATGGGAGGATTGAGCGCCAGCATTCGATTCTCAAGTCCATTTTAAGGAAACTTTGCTCCCTTAAACCTAAGGAGTGGCATCGTTACCTACCCTGTGCTTTGTTTGCCAGGAGGGAAGTTCCCAGTGACTCTTTGGGGTTTTCACCTTTTCTACTTCTCTATGGTAGACAGGCCAGAGGTCCATTGTCCATCCTTCATGACTTATGGCCTAATGAGGAGGTAAATGCTGAGATTCAGTCTTCTTACCAGTTTCTCCTTGACCTTAGATCCAAACTTGAGGAGACCTTTGACATAGTTCCGAAAAACCTAAGCTTGTCAATGGACCAGTACAAAACCTATTTTGATTCCAAAAGTCAGAGGAGAAGTTTTAAAGTAGGGGATGAAGTTCTTGTACTTTTGCCTATCAAGTCAAATAAATTATTAGTAGCATGGAAAGGTCCATATAAAGTATTAAAAATTTGTGGGAAAGTTGACTACCTCATAGAAGTCAAGGGGAAACCTAAGCTTTATCATATCAACATCCTTAAGAAATATACCGAAGAAATTCGGTTAATAACTGCCTTAATAAACTTTAACTTAGTTTTTTCCACACGGACTTGATAAGACAACTGAAGAATGTAAGGTGTGTATAATTGACACCTCTAACTTAGACTATGATGAAGAACTACATGACTTGGTGACTCTTGACCACTCGGGCGCAACCAACATTAATATTAATGAATCTTTGGATGACCATAAGAGACATGAACTACTTCAATGTGTGAGTAACTTTTCAGAAGTCTTTACTGATATTCCAGGTGTTACCTCCACGGTAGTCCATAAGATTGACTTATTGACGGATAATCCGATCAAACGGAAATTATACCCAGTTCCAGTTCACCTTAGGGATGCATTTGACCGAGAGGTAGACAAATTATTAAAACTGAAGATCATTGAACCTTCAGTATCTGCATATTGCTCACCAGTAGTCATGGTTAAGAAGGAGGATAATTCATATAGACTTGCTATTGACTTCAGAGGCCTTAATGCTATAACTCAGTGGGATGCTGAGCCTATGCCCTTAATAGATAGCGATCTACACAAATTTTATGACGCTTCCTTCTTTTCAGAGATTGATATTGCGCAGGCATATCATCAAGTAATGTTAGATCCTTCTTCTAAGCAGTACACCGCTTTTCCTACCCACCAAGGACTGATGCAGTACAGAACTATGCCCTTCGGTTTGGTAACTGCCTGTGCTACCTACGTGAGACTGATGAGAAAGGTCTTGGGTAATAAGCCAAATGTTTCAGTTTATTTTGATAACATTTACGTAATGACATTCACGTGGGGCGAACATATCCAAACATTAACATCAGTTTTTGCGTAGGTACGCTCACATGGCCTCACTGCCAAGCCGAAGAAATGCTTCCTTGGGTATAACAAGATTAGATATCTTGGACTGATACTTTCTAATAACTCTCTGCAGCCTCTCCCCAGTAAGATCAAAGCTTTATTAGAATTTAAATTCCCCAAAACCAAGAAGCTCATGCATAGCTTTCTTGGTTCTGTAAATTTTTGTGCACAGTTTATCCCGAACCTTACTGATCTTACAGGCATCTTATCCGACTTCCTTAAAAAGTCTGTGAAGGAACCTCTTGAACTTTCCGACGTAGCTCGGGAAAAGTTTAATGAGATTAAAAGTATCCTTTCGAAAGACCCTATACTTAAGATTCCAGATATTAATAAAACATTTTGTTTAAGAACTGATGCCTCCAATACTGTCTTACGTGCAGTGCTACTACAATACCATGATGGTACTCCCTTCCCTGTATGCTTCCTAAACTGGAAACTCCTTCCCACAGAATCGACATACTCCACCATTGAAAAGGAATGTTTGGCCCTTGTGTGGGGTATCTCCAAACTTAAATTTTATTTGCTGGGAAAAGAATTCATTTTAGAAACGGACCACAAACCTTTGATATAACTAGAAACTTTTAAGGGAACCAACAGTCGCCTCTTGAGGTGGACATTGGCACTCCAGGCTTTTAAGTTCCATATTGTGTATATCAATGGTTCATCCAATTATTTCTCTGACTGGTTAAGTCGTGACAGTCAGTAGAAGATTTGTTGCCTTACGCGACTTCCACATGTTAGAACTTTTTCCTCGCCTATTCTTCTTATACTCCTTGACTATAAGTCTTGGTATGGGGAAGTGTGAGGGAACAGTTCAATAGATAGGAGTAGCGAGGGAATATATAGTAACAATAGTTTCATTGCCAGCTACTTGTTAAGGTAGGGTAAGTCCAGCTCCCGCTATTCCCCCCCTTTTTCTCCCTCCCCGAAAGTGATAGATTGATTGCCGGCTGCTTGTTAAGGTAGGGGCAGTCTAGCTCCCGCTATCCCTTCCCCTCACTCTTCCCCCCCCCACCGAAAGGTGACGTGTGGGGCTCCGGTCAAACAGTAAATCACTCGACTCACAGCTCCCATTACTACTGTAAGTACACGCCTGATCATATTTTAGTGGACTTATTGGTTGAAAGCTTCACTTTTGACCAATAATTAACTTAGTCCTTTCAGTCTTTATCTGTTAAATGTTTTAATGACCACCACATCTTTTAGGTATTGTACTTATCATGGAGAGTGATTTCTTAAGCAGTGGGTAATCTGTCTCTCTTTACAGCTTGGAATGACAGAGAGGGTCACCTGCCAACCAACGAGAAGAATGGAAGGAGATGGACTAATGTCCTGAGACTCCAGTTTAATCTACTTACCTGTTATGTAAGCCAACACAGGACCTAACCCCTCATCATAGCAGTGGTAACGAACCTGTTTTCCTGTCATCTGAAGTAATTAGTCACGGCTATACTCTGTGAAGAACGAGCCGGTGGCGGTCAGCAACACCTGCTACCCCTCCCCCCCCCATCAGCAACGGCTACGATTTCAACAACACGCAGTGTCACCAACACCCGAAAACCCATTACCACGATATACCTATATTAGCGTTGAGTTCAAATGTAATTTTTTTCATTTCATTTTTCATTTTTCTTTCAATTAGGATACCCATTCATGTTTTATTGTTTTACATTTTCCGTTTCTAAATAATAAAGTGCTTATCATTGTCTGTTATTATTTTTTTTTCTATTCATTAATTTTCCTGAGGAGGAGCCAGCCTTGGTAATACTGACTGAAGTTGTTACAGGGCTGAGTAAGCCTTCACAGAGGCCATCATGTTCGATACAGCTAAGGGAACTACAAGTCTAATTATTTGGATCAAAAGCCCATCACTGATATCAAATAAATTGTTGTGGGAAGAAGGGAAGGCAAAAGAGGCACGATAAATTTGTTGCTTTGGGGGTAAAACATTAAATTTAAGAAGCACCTGTTTCAAATGTTGTATTTCAGGATACAAGGTCATGCTGGTTACAGATATAAAACAAACGCCACAGAGAAAAGTAAGTTTGTATTGTGATAACATGTTACTGGCTTGACAAAACTTCTCCTTAAAAGAAACGTTGTCTCAATAAGAGTTTGCTCATTAATATACATATCTTGAATTACTAGATATTTAAAGGCAATATTACTTATAAAAATAAAATTAAGACATTTTCAGGAAGCTATTAAATGATTTTAATATGGGTATTTTATATATAAATGGTTTAATTTGGTTCCTGGCGATGGAACTTTCTCATGCCAAAAGTTTCAGAGTACCAACAAGATTCAGATTCAGAGAAAGATCACTTACACAAGGAACTCCTGGTGAGTCTTCTTGAGTTTCCTGAAGGATGGGGTTGGGAACACCTCCCATAGACGAGCACTGAATTCTGCGTCATTCAAAGCAGTAAAAAGTTCATTTACGAGGCTGATCATCCTTATGGGTTCCGAGTCCGGTGTGATGTTTGGATCCAAACATCCCAGCCGGCGATTCAGGGCTACACTGCCGACAGCTGTACACAAAAACAGAAAACACAGATCATAATTTTACGGAACTCAAGAAATATAATTTTTACAAGAATTTAAAGCCAACTGTTTTGTTGGTATTTTTGCTATCGTACTGCAAAATGCTACTCTCGAAAGGCTAGTTCAGCATTAAATTTAAAGTAATGTTTTTTGAAGGAAGTATTCACTTTTTCCAAAGCCAATATATATACATAATTTTCATGTTATATAATCGTCTATGAGATAGCAGTCTTATTCAAAACTCTGAATTAAACTAGTATTTTAGATTATTGCTTCTGAGAGTTACATACATTCAAGAGCCCACTTGTACATCTCATTCTGGAAGTCACTTGGCATCTCCCCGAACTGTGACTGCAGTGATGCGATTCTGGAGGACAAAAGGCAAAGGTATCAACCCAAACTTCAGACCATCTCCAGATCTACTTTGAAATAATCTTAGGGGAATGTTAAATCCCTAACGGCAGTAGGGGATTACTTGTCTCTGATCCATGGAAGGGGATGATAGCGCCAACTTCTTTGATCAAGAGCTCTTCACCATCATCAAAGAGGTTTTCCTCTGTCCCCAAGCTTTGAAAATTAATTTTTAAATTAAAAAATATCCTGTTGGTTTATCTCTCCCTTGTCCATGACCACGCTTACTTATAAAGAACTTTCCTGATATATCAATAACCTTCCTAATAAATCCAGGACTTCCTTAACCCACGTAGCATATCACTTCCCTAATACAGTACAGTCGAGATTTCCTCTGGAACATATCCATGATCTTGTCACATCCAGGATCACTATAACATACAGAGGACCTACCTAACATTTCCAAAAATTCACTGAAACATCCTGTATCTTACACAAATAACCCGCACATAGAAGAGAGGAGCTTACGGCGACTTTTCGGTTCGACTTTGTAAATGGTCCAAGTCGGAACGAAACGTCGTCGTATGTGCGGGTTATTTTGCATCGTTCCAGTCACGGAATTGTGCCTTTTTTATTATCCTGTACCTTCCTAACATATTCCAAGCATCTCTAAATGATCTAGTTCTTTAACACATTAAGAATATCCCCCACCTCTCGAGGACATGCCTCACCTATCCATGAACTCCAAAGAAATCTGGTCCATGACAGGCAGGTAGGCCACCACCTCCTTGACTTTCATCATGCTTGTCTGAACTTGTCTGCGTACCCTCCACCACTCCTCGCCATTTCTGGAATATAATAATTTAAGACCTTAGCATGGCAGTCATTGTTATTGCCATTATTCCAGTACCATAAGGGCATAATTATAACACTCAAATATTCTGAGGGAGAGAGAGAGAGAGAGAGAGAGAGAGAGAGAGAGAGAGAGAGAGAGAGAGAGAGAGAGAGAGAGAGAGAGAGAGAGAGAGAGAGAGAGAGAGAGAGAGAGGTGATAGAGAAGTATGCTCACGATCAGAAACACTGACAATTGTAAACGTACTCTGTCAATATCCCAGTTTTGTTTTCAAAATAATTGTCTACAGCCTCCTGTCTAATCTTCTTGAAGGACTCGAAGCCGTCCCTGATTGGGTTGTCCATTGTGGCTCGTATGACGGTCTCGGCGTCGTAGGGGTTGGCTATACATATCATCGGTGGTGTGAACGGGGCGACAAACTTAACGATGGGGCCATAATCCTCAAACAGTTTTTTAAAGTAGAGATGAATCTTGGAGCTATTGAAGGCTGTCAGAACAAAAGTCGATATTATGATTATTATATTTGCCTGATAATCGTTGTTAATTTTCAATTCAATAATATCACTGAAGATAGTGACAGGCATTGTTATTGTTAGTTTTTCAATAATATCAGTAAGGGTAAACTGTAATGCAATTTGAACAAGAGTAAGTCAGCCATTAAAATACAATTGTGGAGAAATTTTCTCCAGGAGGGGGGTATCAGCCCCCTTCAGCCCCTTTCAGCCCTGAGGGGCCCAGCCCACTCAGAAGGGGTATGCATCTTGTTTACTGCTACAGCAAGTAATTGATCCCAGATGCAATACGAGTATGTGATGGGGGTCAAGCGACCGCCGCTCCTTGCAAGAGTCCGGTGTTGCAAAGTGTTGTTTAATAAGAGACGTCCATCTCTTCCCTTTAGCAGAAAAAATTAAAGGGAAAAAACCCCGGCCCCCCAACTTTATTACCAAGGTAAAAGAAAGGGACATTGTGGCCCAAATGTTTAAAGACAGCAAAAATTTCAAGAAATTTTCTGCTTTGCTTAAAGGGGGAATTTTTGGAAAGGGAAGCAAAAAAACTGGGTTCAGCTTTTTTTTTTAATGTTCTGGGGGGCATTTCAGTAGCGTGGGAACGTGGGGTAGATTATTTTTGCCCTTTTACTGGGGAAGGGGGGGAGAGGACATGGCGTGGCCGGGGAAAACCAAATAAAGAACACCTTTCCGCGCTTTTTTTCAAAAAAAGAATCCCAAAAAAAACACTTACAAAAGTGTGATCACCTTCTTTATGACATTATGGTTTTGAATAATCTTGATGAACAGTGAAAACAAGAGTGTTGGGGAACCAACAATGTAGTGGGACTTTCCCTTCAAAGAATCTATTCTTAAATAAAATGATGGGATATCCGGTACAACTAGGGGGGTCAGCTAAAAATGCCCAGGTACGTTTAAGTCGTAAAAATTGATAGGTGGGCCTCCCGCAGTGGATATCATGTTATGTTGAAAAATTCCCAATTACCCCGGTTTTTTACAGGCCACGAGCCTACACAAGAAAGGGTTGCAGCAATCAGTGTCTGTTTATATGCTGACATAATCCCCCCTGGGGTTTAAATTTTTTTTATTAAGACATTTCCATTTCGGGGCCCTTTGCAAAAAGTTTACGTTCTCAAGCCCTCCCCCTGCAGGGGGGTTTTGCGGGGCGATGAGCTGCTTCCCAAGCATTTTCCCCTATTTTTAAAACTTTAACCTTAGCGGGGTAAACCATTTCCAAACCAACAATGATGATGTTACGGGAAAGGGAGGGAAAGAAAAAAAAAGTTTCAAATTTTTATGACGAAAATCTAAGGAACCCTTGAAAAAAACGGGCCCCAGTTTTTTGTTTTTTTGATTAAAATTCAAGAAAACCAGGCAAATTTATCCTACTCGTGTTGGGAAATTTTCCCCTTTTTTGTGTTGGGGATAATTTTCATTAATCAATCAATCCACTGATGTTCTTTTGATGTAAACCCCTTTTCTACCACGTTTCTGATGTGATGCCCAACCCTTCTACGGCTTTTTTCGTTCTCATATAAACCCTTCTACTACTATTTTTTGTTTTTAAGTTAACTCTTCTTACGGTGTCATCTGTAATAGGGTTTCATCAAGTGTTCTAAAAAAACGTAAAACCTTTTTAAAGAATCTTAGAGTGCAAATTGCCCGGGAATTTGGCACACTCTGGGCCCCTGGAATTTCAGATACTGGTCTAGGCCCCTATTTCCCGGTTCTTTTGCTGCGGGCTGCCGCTGCTGCTGCTGCTTTTTACTTGATGATTTCAGTGAGGTCGTGAAAAATCGGGCCCTTTTACCAGGGGGCCAAAAGGCCCTCTCCCCATTACACTTTGGGCCCACCCCCGGGACATGATCGGGGGCGGGAATCATTACATTGTAAGATAAGTAATTTTTTTTTTACAAAAAAAATAATAGACAAAAAATGAGGAGTTCTTTAAATTTAGCTGCAATTTACTTGTATTCTTTACTCAAGTTTTCTTTAAATCCCGAACAGCGATTATTAAATTTAAAAACTATCATTGTCCCCCTATAATTGTTTTATTTACAATATCAAAAAATTTTTTTGGCCGTGGAATTGACTACTTAAACTTCAAAACCCAATATTTTTTTCTTCTTTCTCTGAAAAATTTTTTATTAAAACCAACCGGGGGGGGGAAAGAGTCGAACCGGGCCCCAAAGGTACTACCAGGGCACGATTCCATACCGGTTCACCCTTTTGTTTAACCCAGCACTCCGTTTTTTAGAAAACATTTACCTCGCCCCATTTTTAGAACTGTTGTCATCCTGGCCTGCATTTTTTTTTTGCGTATATTTGCCCAAGGTTTTTGGAATCTAAAAATTTTTGCAAGTAATCCACCCCCTTCTATTTATGAATGATTTCCGAGAGTCTTCTATGTATTGTTGACTGGTTCGGAGGCACAAAAGTAACAAAATTTTACACCTGTGATTTCATTTCGAAACAAAGGGGCACTGATTAGATGTACCAGAAATCTTTCCTAAACTGCATCCCTTCATTTCATGCAGGGTTTAGTTATCCCTTTTAAAATTTTTAACGTTGGAAGAAAAACCGATGTTACGTTTTTAAAAACTGCGTAACGGTTAAATAAAATTCTTTAGCTCCTAAAGGGTAAACAAACCCGTATATCTAGGGGCATTTAAATTATTTAAAATAGAAAAGAAACCACTCTAGGGCCCCATGTACCTTCATACAAAATTTTGGGAAACATAAATTTAAAGGCAATGTATTAGGGGGAAAGACCAAAAACTCACCTATACAAAAATATAATATTATATATATAATTTTATATATAATTATAAATTTTTTATAATATTATATATATAAATATTTTAAAATTTTATATATTATATATATATTATAAATTAAAAAAAAATTTTAAATTTTAAAATATATATTAAATTTATATATAATATATATTAAATAAAATTTTATATATATAAAATTTTTATAAATATTTATAAATATATTTTTTAAGGGGAACATTAAACAACCTACAATTTTACTATAACCAAAAAGCCACAAATCCCGTTTTCCTTTTTAAACCCGTACTCACTTTTCACTTGCACACGCTACTAGTGATTAAAAAAAACTTATAAAAATTTTTTAAAGAGGGGGCTCCATGGGCACCCCTTTTCCCTTTTGCCGGGTTTTCCCACCACAGGCTAAAAAATCCATTCGAGTAAATTTTCCAAAAATTAAACAGGGGCCCCCTGCACACAATGGCCCTTTCAGGGGAAAAAAGAGAACACTTAAAAAAATAAAAATAACCTAGGGGATAAGGGTTACCAAAAAAAAAAAAAAAAAAAAAAAAGATCACCCACACCTACTTTTTCCAAAAACCTAACGATGACGGATCCTCCCCCCCGCCGTTCTTTTTCGTACTGGGTACACACCTCATTTCCTTTTCCTGGGGCCCCTCCCGACTGACAAGGGGAAAAATTCACTTCCCTTTTTTAAAAATATTATCCCGGGGAAAATTTAATTATATATGGAGGTTTTTTTTTTATACCCAAAATTCCAACCCTTTCTCTTAATAAAACCCCACAATATGTTAGGTTAAAAGGGCCCCAAAATTTCCAGTAATATTTACATTTTATTTTCCCGGGAACGTAACGGGGGATAAAGTTTTTGGAGGGCGAAACATTTTCCACCAAAAAAAAATGTCACATTGGTTCATTGGGTTTTTCCCTTTTTTAAATAGGGAGTTATAAATTAAAATCTTTAGGACCTCTCTTTTTCCCCTTTTCCCGTAAACCCCATTATTTTTGGTTTTTCTTTTAATTTTTTTTTATATTTTACTGTTTTTTTTGTAAACAAAAATTAACTGCCATCCCTTTAATTAAATTTTTCATTTTCCCTTTTTTTTTATTACTGATTATTATTATTATTTTTTATTATTATTAAATTTTTTTTATTATTATTATTATTATATTTAAAGACTTTATAATAATAATTTTGGATTTTTTTTTAATTTCCAAAACTAGAACTTATAATAAATGGGGGTATTAATTGTGAAAAGTTATTTGGAAAAAACCCCCCCCGAGATATTTTAATGAAGAGGGTGTGGAAGAGGGCCAAGAGTGGGTTTAGGAAGGGGGACGCCCCTTTGAAAATTTTAAGGTTTTTAAACAATGGACTTAATTGTGCAATTTAATTCGGCATTTCTGAGGCCCAAAATTTTTGGGGTTTTTTTTTTTTTTTTCGCCCTGAATTTGTAATTGAACCCCTTTTTAAAATTTCCGGCCCGAAGTTTTTGGGGCCGGAAAATTTTTTTTTTTGGGGACTTAAAAATTTTTGGCGGAGGACCCCTAAAAAAAGAGGGCTTCAATGAATCCTTCAAGGCCCCGGGGCACCCCTACTTTGGGAAAAGGGAAACCCTTTCCCGGGGGAATACCGGCGAATAAAAAAAAAAAAAAAAAAAAAAACCTTAGGTTTAAATCACACTTACCCATAATGTACAGTATTTTTTTTGTTGGCTACTGTAAATCCTACTGTAAAAGGGGATAGTTTGGGGTTTTTGTTTATCAGACTGTCCCCCCCCTTTAAATTTAAAGGAAAAGATAATCAAATTCTTTTCTAATAACCCTTTTTTTAAATTTTAGTATTGTACTAATAATTTACCCTTGTGCACCCAGCAAATTAAAACCCAAAAAAACACAATCCACATAACTTTAAAAAACCCGAGTAGTGGGTTTTTAAATTTAATTATTAATTTTTTAAAGGGCAGGGCTAGCTTTTTTGAAAGTGGGTTTGGAAGTGGGCTCCCAAGGACTGGGAGTTTAGGGACCTACTGTGATTTTTTGTGCCACTTTGGGTCAACCAAATTACTTGCAGGAATAAATTTAGGGTAATGCACTTTAACCCCCTACAGGTAATTTAATCACGAAAAATCAAATAATAATAATATTAATAACACTGTCATATGCCTTAGGAAGAGGTTCTCTGAGGGTTAGGGTGCTTCTACAGCAAAGACTATACCCGGGCAGCGCTCAATAACCTTTTACGTTCTTCTCTCTCTCACATGCTTCATTGCCTTTTCGTTTGTTATTTTTGATTATCTTCTGTACTGCTTCGTTTCAAAGTTCACATTTTAATTCGGCCATTGGCCCTTGTTCACCTGCGTTCATGTACTTGAATCTTCTGTCATGTTTCCTTCATAAACTCTCTTGTTATCTCTGAGCAGAAACCATCGGTTTGCTTCACACACGGATATATACATATATGTATGTATATATACATATATATATATTATAATA